AACCCCTGATTTGCATTTAGAATATTAACTTTTATTGATTCACAACAGCATGATTCACCTTGTACCTGCCTACAGACAAGACCATTAAATAGACAACCATTAAACCAACAATTAAATCAGTGAAGACTTGGTCAGATGAGGCAAAGCTGAAACTCCAGACCTGCCTTGATTGCACTGATTGGAATGTTTTTGAAGATGCCTCTGCAGACCTAGATGAGCTCACAAGTACTGTAACATCATATGTTAGCTTCTGCGAAGACTTATGTGTACCAACAAGGAACCTGCAAATATATAGTAACAATAAACCTTGTTTCACAGCTAAACTTAAGCAGCTACGTCGTTCCAAAGAGGAAGCCTACAGAAAAGGTGACAGAATGCTATACAACCAGGCCAGAAACATATTAACAAGAGAGATCAGAGCAGCAAAAAGAAGCTACTCTGAAAAGTTAAAGAATCAGTTCTTAACAAATGAACCAGCAAACATGTGGAAAACTCTTTAAAACATCACTGGCTTCAGCAAACCTCCTTCCCAGGCAGAAGGAAATGAACAACTAGCAGATGACCTGAATGTGTTTTACTGCAGGTTTGAAAATAAACTACAGCCACAACCCACATCTCAAACACACCAACAGCAGCCAAGCCTCCTACAACTGCCCTAATCCATTGGGCTCACAACCTCTGGTGATCACAGAAAAAGAAGTGCAAGATCTATTACACAGACAAAAGCCAGGAAAAGCACCAGGGCCAGACAAGATAACTCCTTCTTGCTTAAAAGTCTGTGCTGACCAATTGGCCCCCATCTTCACCTGAATCTTCAATAGATCACTGGAGATGTGCCTATGTTCCTTCCTGCTTCAAACGTTCTACCATCATCCCAGTGCCAAAGAAGGCCTCCATCAAGGAACTGAATGACTACAGACCAGTTGCTCTAATACCTGTAGTTATGAAAATCTTTGAAAGGCTTGTGCTGTCCTGCCTGAAAACCATCACGGATCCTCTGTTAGATCCCATGCAGTTTGCATACCGAGCAAATAGATCGACAGATGATGCTGTTAACATGGCTCTGCATTACATCCTACAACACCATGAATCTCCAAATACCTATGCAAGGGTCCTCTTTGTAGACTTCAGTTCAGCATTCAATACCATCATTCCAGACACTCTTCTAAGTAAATTAAACCAACTAGCAGTACCTAAACACACTTGTAAGTGGATCATAAGCTTCCTAACAGACAGGAAGCAGCAGGTGAAACTAGGCAGAATCACATCCAATATCTGTACAATCAGCACAGCCCCCCTGCCCCCCCCAGGCATTGTGCTATCTCCACTTCTCCCTATATACCAATGACTGCATCTCAAATGTTCCATCTGTTAAAATACTGAAGTTTGCTGATGACACAGCAGTGATTGGTCTCATTCGAGATGACAAATCCGCATACAGAGAGGAGGTTATACAACTTGCCTCGTGGTGTAACCTGAACAATCTGGAACTGAACACACTCAAAACTATAGAAATGGTGGTAGACTTTAGAAGAAACCTTCCCATATTACCACCTCTTATAATACTAGACAACACAGTATCAACAGTAGAGACCTTCAAATTTCTAGGTTCTACTATATCACATGACCTAAAATGGACACCTAACATCAAAAATGTCATTAAAAAAGCACAACAAAGAATGTTCCTTCTGCACCAACTCAGAAATCTCAAACTGCCCAAGGAGCTGCTGATACAGTTCTACAGAGGAATTATTGAGTCTATTATCTGTACCTCTATAACTGTCTGGTTTGGTTCTGCAACCCAACAGGACAGACACAGACTTCAGAGGATAATTAGGACTGCAGAAAAAAACAATTACTACACACCTGCCTTCAGTTGAGGATCTGTATACTGCACGAGTCAAAAAGAGGCTGTGAAAATATTTACAGACCCCTCACATCCTGGACATAAACTGTTTCAACTCCTTCCCTCAAAACGACGCTATAGAGCACTGCACACCAGAACAACTAGACACAAGAACAGTTTTTCCCCGAAAGCCCTTACTCTGCTAAACAAATAATTCCCTCAACACTGTTCAACTATTTACAAAGTGTGCACTACTATTACTGTTAATCTTCTCATCACTCCTTATCACCCATCCCCTCCCACTTGTGATTGTAGGACTGTAACTTTGCCGCTTGTATCCTTACAATTTATATTGACTGTTTCCTAGTATGATTTGATTGTTGATTGTACCCTATGACTATCATCAAGTGTTGTATGTTATGATTCTTGATTCTTAACAAATGTATCTTTTCTTTATGTATACTGAGAATATTTACACCAAGATAAATTCCTTGTGTGTCCTATCACACTTGGCCAATAAAGTATTCTATTCTATGAAAACCAATTCATTTTTACACCTTGTTCTTCCAACGCTTGCATAGATGTAAGTTCACCCTTTTCATTCAATATCTCACCATATCTAACTGTTTGTTCCTTTTTATATATTATTGGATAAGACAAAGCTTCAACAGTAGATAACCATAGTGGAATTTTTAAATAATATTGCTTTTTTATTTTCTCCCAGTTTAAAAACAATGCTTCTCGAATATAATGTCTTCTAAAATACCCCTGCATTTTAGTTCCCTTATACCAGAGGAAGGCATGCCACCCTAACAGCAAGTCATGTCCTTCTAAATTCAAAAGTATAGTATTCCTTAATGTTATCCACTCCTTTACCCATATCAAACTCATTGCCTAGTAATATAATTCCCAATTGGGCAAAGCGAATCCTCCTCTTATTCTTATATCTTGTAATACTTTAAGTTTTATTCTTGTTTTCTTCCCCTGCCAAATGTATTTTAGCACTATTTTATTTAGATCTTCAAAAAATTCTTTTCCTAATCTAATTGGAATTGTCTGGAATAAATATAAGATTCTAGGCAATACATTCATCTTAATTGTAGATATTCTCCCAATAATGATAATTGTAAATTTTCCCATTTTATCAAGTCTGTCGCAATCTGTTGTTTGAGTTTAAGATAATTATCCTCCTTAAGTGTGCTACATCTTGGTGTTATATGTATCCCTAAATACTTAACCTTATTTGTGACCTGGACTCTCAAAACGTCCTCCAATTCTTTCTTTCGTCTTGCTAATATGTTAAAATCTTTGTTTTATCTTTATTTATTTTCAAACCTGCTACTTTCCCATACTCTTCTATCTTTTCTATTAGCTTGGGTTCTGACTCCAATGGATCTTCTGATATAAATACCAGGTCATCTGCAAAGGCTTGCAATTTGTACTCTTTTTTTTTTTAATTTTCATTCCTTTTATTTCTTTTTCTTCTCTGATGTTCCTATTCAGCAGTTCCAGTGTTAACACAAACAACAGAGGCGACAGTGGACAGCCTTGTCTAATCCCTTTTCTTATATCTATAAAGTCTGTTAACTCTCCATTTATCGTAACCTTTGCAGTTTGTTTAAAATATATCATTTCTATGGCTTGGATAAATTTTTTACCAAAGCCCATTTGTTCCAATTGTAACAGCATAAAACACCAACTGACATTGTCAAAGGCTTTTTATGCATCTAAAAACATCAAAGCCATTTGTTTTTCGGGATGTGGCTCATAGTATTCCAGTGTGTCTAAAATATTCTCATATTGTCTTTAATTTGTCTCTTTGGCAGAAATCCATTTTGATCAGAGTGAATAAAATTGTTTAAGTATCTTTTCAGTCTTTCTGCCAGAATTGAAGCAAAGATTTTATAATCTGAATTTAATAGGGATATAGGTCTATAATTTTTAACTTGCTGTGGGTCTGTGTTCTCCTTCAGTACAAGTGTAATATATGCTTCTGACCATGTTTTGGATATTCTCTTCCTTGACATAACTTCATTCATAACTTCTAACAAGTGAAGATTCAATGTTTCCTGAAATGTCTTGTAAAATTCCACTGGCAGTCCATCCAGACCTGGTGCTTTCCCAATATTTTGCTTTTTTAAAGCTTCTGTTAATTCCATCATTGTTATGTTAGTTTCTAACATTATTTCAATATCTTTGGGTATCTCGGGCAGATTTGCTTCCTATAGGTATTGTTTAATTCTTTCTTCCTGGACATTCTCTTGATGGTACAATTTTCCATAATAATCTTGAATAATTTTTTTCTTCTCCGCATTTCCATAGCATACATGTCCTTGTTCATTTATCAATTGATTTATCCTTCTTGAGTCTCTTTCCTTTCTCAGTTTATAAGCTTACCATTTGCCTGGTTTATTTGTATCTTCAAAATAGTTCTGTTTAGCATTTCTAATTTTTTGTGCTATTTCCTCTTTTCCATTAGCCCCATTTTATGTTTAATTATGTCCATTTTAATTTTAATGTCTTTTTTGTGGAAATTTCTGTAACTCCTTTTCCAGCCTCTTGTAGTCATCTTCCAATGTTTTAAAAGTTTTTTTTCTGTTTTCTGTTTCTTTTTCTTGTGTAGTCCATTATCAAACCTCTTGTATAAGCCTTCATCATGTTCCAGAGGTTCTGTAGTGATGTATCCTCTTTTGTGCTTTCTTTAAAGAAGAAAGTCAATTCTCTCTCAATTTTCTGTTTAAAATCTTTTTCCTTTAATATTGTATTAGAGTCCATCTAGATCTCCTTTTATTGGATTATGATCTGCCCAGGTACTTGTTTCTATTTCAATGTCTTGTATGCTAGAGAGCAATTCTGTTAACATCCATCTATTCTGGACCATGATGCATGTCTATTTGAATAGAAAGTATATTGTTTATTTTCCGCATTTCTCTCTCTCCATGCATCTTTTAGGTTTATTTCATCTATCATTTGAAAGAAGGATTTTGGCAATGTCTTTCTAGTTTTCTTTGCTGTTTTCTGTGTTTTATAATCCAATTTGTCATTAATTATTCCATTAAAATCTCCCATCATACAAATATTAACATAGTCCAATTCAATTATTTTCATATGTAATTTCCTGTAAAAATCTTCTTGATTATCATTTAGAGCATAGATTGCTATTAAAAGTATCTTTAGATTATTGTCCATTATCTCCACCATCAAAATGCTTCCATCATCATCTGTATATATTTGTTCCGCTGGGATTGTATCTCTAATGTATAACACCACTCCTTTCTTTTTACATTGTGTCAACACTGTAAATAATTTCCCTAATTTTTGTTGTTTCAATATGTGTTCATGTTGTTTTTTAATATGTACTTCTTGTAGGCAGATTATATCACATTTTAATTTCTCTAACATGAAATATTTTTCTTCTTTTAGTAGCTGAATTAAGTCCATTTATATCAATTGTAATCAGTTTTCTCTCATCCATTTTAGACTTTATAAGAAGGATTTGTTGCTCTAGTAGATCTTGGTTCTCGTTGCTCTCTGGGCACATCACCAACGGCTCCTTCTTCTTTTTCAATTACTGCTATACATTCCTCTTGAAATTCAATTAACAACTCTTCTTTTCTTGTATCTTCCTCCTTTTCTCTGAAATATTCCAGATAGAATAACTCAGCTTTTTCAACTGTGTCAATTCTGTGTCTTTGTTCCTGCCAGGTAAACATGAGACCTTCTGGTATCAGTCATCTGTAATTTATTCCTCTCTTAAGTAACTCTTTAGTCAAAAATAAATATTCTCTTCTTATCTCTCTCACTCTTCTCAGTATCTGTTTCAGTACCACTATTTCTTTATATTTGTACTTTAGTGTTTTCTCTCTTGCTGCCTGCAGTATTTGTGATTTAGTTGTTTTCTTAGTAAATCTGATATGAACTTCTCTTGGTAGTTTATTTCTCATTGCATATCTTGCACAGACACGGAAGACCTCATCCATTCCATCCATCATCTTCTCTTTAGTTATCTCTAGTGCTTCTGCCAAGATTTCTCTCATCATTTCAGCAAGGTTTTCACCCTTTTCTTCTTCTATATTTTGAAATCTAAGATAAAATTCTGACCTATCGATTTCCCATCCCAGTGATCCCAGTGATCTGCTCTTGTCTCTTTCAACTTCACTCAGTCAGGTATCCATATCTCAATTGTTTTATCTCTTTGTACATCTTGTTCTTCAATTTTCTTAATTCTCTCCTCATATTGCATTATCATCTGTTGAATATTTTCAATTTTCTCATCTGTCTTTTTGGTTCTTTGCTTGATATTCTCCATTCTCTTTTCAATATTTTCCATTCTCTTTTCAATATTATCTGTTTTTGCTTGTATCTTTTGAATTCCTTGCATAATCATCTGCATGTCACTTCTTTCTCCTTCTCCTCATTGCAACATCATCTGTATTGATTGTTGTCCTTCAGATGGTGAGGAGGAAGAAGTCGGGATTGAAGAAGCTGAGGCTGGTATCTTTCTGGTCATCTTAGAATACTTAATAGGAAAATTGAGAAGAAAAAGCAAGTGCAGCCAACTGCCACTCCAAAAAAATAAAAGCAAAAAATAGTAATAAACAGGGAAGGGAAAAAAATCTTCAAGCACTTGAACACCTTAATCCAATTGGTTCCAATTATGTAGAAGAAAAGGAAAAAAAGAAAAAAAATGTAAAATGGAGAAAAGATGAAAAAATAAAAAAGTTGAAAAGTTTAAAAAGACAGAAATCTGTATATTCTCCTTGCTAAAAAGGTAGAACAAAGGGAGGAGGGAGCGGGAAAAAAGTAATCTTATTCCTGCATCAAAAGACTCAAGTCCAAATATAAAAATCCAACTGGGGGGAAAGAGTAAAAAAAAAGAGAAAGAGAAAATGCAATTCTGTCAGTAAGCAAAGCACTGCCACTAAATATTCGAGGTTCTTTACTAAATCAAAAAACAAAATTTCCAGTTCTCTTTTCAAGGTCACTTCAGATTTCTTTCTTTCAATTTCAACACCAGACTCCGGCTATCAGTAGTTCCACAGAAGAACACCTACATAAACAATCTACATCAGGGGTCTCAAACTCGCAGCCCACGGGCCAATTGCAGCCTGCAGGATGATATCCTGTGGCCCCCACCGTGATATGAAAGTATAATATTAGTGCGGCCCTCAGGGGGAATGGACCTCTGAAGGAAGTCCCACCTGCCGTTCTTCGTCGTGGTTTCTTCTCCACCCTGAACTTTAACAAGTCCAAGTACAGGTCCAGACTTACTGATGATCATCTTCAAGCCATACTGAGGGTCTCAAGTGCCTCCTTTCTCAAGCCAAATGTGGCTCAGATATGTGAGAGGAAGCATTGTCAAGTCTCTGGCAGCAAGGAGTAAGCTGGAGAAGTGATGTTCTGAAGAACTGTTCATGATCTTCATTCAATGTTCCATTCATGTGTTCAGGACAGTTCATGTATTAGAGAAATCATTAACTGTTGATGACATTTGAGGATATTTTTTTAACAACGTTTTTTGTGGAATCCCTTATGCGGCCCAGCCTCACCCAGACTCTGCCTCCAGCGGCCCCCAGGTAAATTGAGTTTGATACCCCTGATCTACATGCTCTTCCCACTATCTTTTCAGTGAAAGACTCAGAGTCCTTGAATATAACACCAGATGTATCAACAAGTAAGAAAGAAAGAAAAACAATGTATCCAAGCCTCCAGATGGCAGTGGTACTTATTTCCCTTCCCTTTCACTTCCCCTCTAATATTTAGGCCAGGAATAAATGAAAAAAAAGTCGTTAAAAAGAAGAGAAAAAAAAGAATAGTAAGTAAAAGTTTATCTCACCAAACTGACACACTTTCTTTACAACTTTCTTCCATTCCAGAGCTGTCGCAGATTCAGCAGCTTAAATGGCTGCCTCTCTGCCACGGGAAAAAAGGGCTTCTCCTGGTTCTACCAGGGACTTTGCGATGTCCCTGGGATCGACAGGATGTGCCCTTCTCAGTCACTGTTTCTATGAGATGGTTTAGGTCCAGTGGGACCGTCCTGCAACGGGGATATCAGCGGCAATCTTGGAGCTTCAAGATCGCGCACTGTACCGCCGCAACACCAGATATTTTTTATTGGAAATTACACCGGAAATATATAACAAAGAATTGAAATATTTGATTGTAAATGTTTTAACAGCAGCTAGAATTGTATTTGCTAAGAATTGGAAAAATGAAAAAATACCTATGCAGGAGGAAATTATTAAGAAAATCATGGACTGTGCTGAAATGAGTAAATTGACATTTGAATTCAGAGAACAAGAAGATAAAACAATTTTATATGATATGGGATTTATTTTATCAATGGTTAGATAAAAAGACATGGTAAAGAAATAGATTAGGAAGTTTTACAATAAAAAATTAATAGATTGATATAGAGTACAATATAAAATATAACCATTGGATGAATGTATAAGATTAAACTATAATGAAATTTGGAATATCTCGCATAAAATGATGGAAAAATAGCTTAGTCAAATGAATGATTAATGATTGATAAATACATAAGCACATGTTAGATTGACAAAGTGAGAATTTATACAACTTGTAAGTAATGGCAAAAAAAAAGGATAACACAAAAGATTGTAACCAACTGACACACTGTATGTATATAATTGAAAGATGGTTTTATGTTTTTTATGTTTTGTTTGTATGTTTGTTGTAAAAAATAAAAACTTTATAAAAAAAAAGAGGTAAGTTTAAAATAGTGTAACTCAGCCAGAAATTATTAGAATTATAATAGAATGGTCCAAAAATAAAAAAAGATACTTGGAAAAACAACTTAAGGAATATGCAGCAATTGCAAAAAGTAATGGTATATAACCGGAATAGAAGTTTGAGTAAATTTAAGTAAGAATAATTTCCCTCTATATTATATGTCTTATAGCAAGGTGAACTCAGCAACTGTATTTAGAGTACACTTTTTAAAGAGGAAATATTTCATGAAAAGACAGTAACCAGAAATAATTTTAATGTTTATAAATAATTTGACACAAGCACCAGTAGGTAGAATGGAAGAATTATTTTGGTTTTTACATTTTTTTAATTTCCCGCCCATAAAATCATGTACATTTATTTTTAATAATAATAAATAGTGGTAACATCAATATAACGTTGAGAGTTTGATAGTGATTTACAATTACTCCTGATGATTATATGAGTCTAGTTTAAACATTCAGCTATTAATCAAAAGAACAATGGATTTTAAATTTTATCACAATTGTTCATTTTGTTTACTTTCTGATATTTTATTTTCTATCCACTATGTTTTTCTCCTTTTATTTTGTTAATGTAGAGCTTCATTGATTTCTTAAATATGTTTACATAAATAGAAAATAAGAATCAGGATAGGATGGAATGGAAGAGACACAAGGATCCTTGGATATTATGTAGTCCAACCTCCAGTTCCATGCAGGAGTCTAGTACATTGACTCATGTTATGGAAGAGTTGAAAGGATCTGTAGTACGGGTGTGATAATGATCTCAAGATTTGGTTTGGACCCCGTGAAAAATAATCAGTTTCAATTCAAACCAATCAGATATGGTCATAATCCAAAATGAGATTGAGAAAACAGAAGCTTTTACCTGCTCTGTCATGGACTTAAAGGATTCTGAAGCAAAGAAATCTGGCAATCCTACCCAAACCCAATAGCTACCCTGAGTAAATTCAGAATGAATTCTTCATTGGTTATGTTGCTAGAACATAATAATTCATAGTTTACATATTCCTTATTCATTCAACTTAGCAATTTTTTTGAGTTCACAATCACTTTGAGCTGTAAGCTAACCACATAAATTGCATTTGTTAGATTATTGGCCAGTGTGCAGTTCAATGTGTTTGGTAAACTATATTCATGACTAAGAGTTCTTCTAAATTATTCTAATTAAAGGATGTCTGTTCTTTAATTTGACTGCAACTTTAAGCTGGAATACTCAAATGCCTTTATCATGTAGAATCTGGTAGAATTCAGAATGAAGACATAAGATATGTTGAATCCTGATATAAGGCTAGCTTTAGATTAAGGCCAAGCAGAGATTGGCCTAAGATGCCAAAGCTTAGGGGATGCCAGTGCCCCATCCTGGCCTCTGCATTATTCTACAAATGCAAATATTTGCATTGGTGGGAGGTGGTGCCATCAGTCAATGTTTCCTAAGGCCACCATATATCCTTGAATCAGTATTGCCTGGATGTGTCTTCCAAGCCCCAAGCAGCCTCTATTTTAGAGATACACACAGTCCAGGCATAACATGTTTGAGAGGCAAAAAGTGGAGGATCATAGATACTATTGGTGAATTTCAGTTTTTTTTAATTTTTTGCTAGCCACTATTTTGTAGTCTAGAATTTTATATCTTTAAACACTTGGGATATAATTATGATTCCTAATAATAATCTCAGACAATGATTCATCCATGACAAACATAACCAGGCCTTTTATCAATGGGAAAGGTAAATGTATAAATGATTTAAGTGTAAGTAATTTTTTTTTAGTTTGAATATACTTGGATGAAATTTCCTATAATAAAGTCTGGCCAATTTCAAACAAATCAGATGCAAGGAATTGCAGTTACCTTTTTTAGCTTTATTAAAGGAGCCTTTTTGGTTATTTAATAGAATTGGATTGTATCTGCAAGGTCAAGATAATGCAAAGTTCAAGAACCCTAGCCCTCAAGAGCCTGTAAAAAATTGTTTTCCAGCTTCTATGATAGAGAAATAAACCTAAGGTTGCAGCTCTTTTTTTTTGCAACATTGTTTATTGATGAAACCACAAGCTGGTTTGGATTCAGTTTTGGTTGCTTCAACAAGAGCCTACATTTAGTCCCCAATTGGCATATTGAAAAACAGGCCTCACTTCTGTCATTTCATTATTTTATTTGTTTTATGGGTTCAGTGTGTGAGTCTCTCCAACACTTACATATGTACTATACATATTTTACACACATATAAATTATATAATATTTAATGAAAAGTGTTTTAACACACTTGAATGTGAGATTTGAATGTGAACTACCTTATGCAATCAAATGTTTTTATCTAGCTGTAGTTGTATCTTTAAATATTAGACCTTTTCTGCTAATATTCTTCTCATTTTACTATTTATTTATTTGGAAAAAAATACTGCTCTTCGCCTGCAAAAAGTTCCTAGAGTACACATCAATAATACAGTATTTTTTTCCTGCTGGTAAGGTGCAAATAAAAAAGACATGTCAGAAAAAGAAAAGGATTTGGAAGGAGAGGATAAGAAAATACTCTTGAGGTATTAGTTATGTAGTTTTTATAGTATAATGCTGATTGATTGAATATATTCTATCACATATTATGATTAGCCATTTTAGCTTTTTTTTTTTTTGTAAATTTTATTTGAGTTTTCACAAAAAGAAAAAAAATACAAATAAAACATCTTTTTTGAAAGCAGCATAATCCCGGGTTACATTTCTTCGTACAGACACAAATTCAGGTTCATGCTCATTTTTATATTCTATTCCATATCTTATTACTATTTTACATTTTCTGCATAGCTTCTCCCCTCTTTTAATTTTCTCAATTTTATTTTAATTATCTCATCTCAATTCAAATCATTGTATTTATATTTTTTGTCTGTCCTGTTTCAATTGTCTATTATCTTTTCTCATTAAACAAAATTTCTCCTGTAGTTACTGATTGGAGTATGACACCTTTATATCTTTTCCCTAGAGTTGTAACATTCAATATAATACATAACTTCCATTCGGATTCTGCTTGGTACATTCTTAAAATACACACTGTATTCTTAAAAAAAATTAAAAAAATTATAAATGGATATAATTAAAACATTCCATTCCAATTCAATTCTATCATTAATATTAATATTCATTAAAGTCTTAACATTTTTCACGTTACTTTTCAATTAAATATCATACTTCTATGGGAACAATTATAAACTTTCCATAGTTAATTCACCCCCCTTCACTTATATTTTATAAAACATTGACTAATTAAAATGTTCCTGTTCCTTCCTAATTCAATTTTCTCATTTATTTTATTTCACTTATTTTATTCACAAACATTTCACTAAATTACACTAACTATTTTATCCCTCATTTTAATAATACGTTGTTTCCAATTTTCTAAAGTTATTTCTATTACTAATATAACAATACAATCTTATGTACCTTTACAGAATCCCCTTTTCAGTTAGATTTTCACCCATTATCTCTAAATAGGTCCTGTTTCTCTATATCTTGCTCCGGTCTTTTGTAACTTCTTTTCCTTTCCTTCTTCCCTCTGTTCTTCTCTCTCCCCTTTTTACCCCCTTGTCTCTCTACCTCTATTTCCCTCTTCTGTATTCCCCTTTTCTGTTGCTTTCCAGTATCATACTTATTTTTTGAATTATTTTTCTTTTCTTTGGTTGTTTTTTTAAGTCTTAAATTCTCCATTTTCTTCTCCCCCTTTCCTTTTTCTTCCCCACATAGAATTACTTGTTCATTAAAGATGGCTTCTTCTTTGTCCCAGTCTTCTTGTTTTGCAGTCTTGTTGTTTCTCATAGTTCCAAATCTCCATTTCTAAGAATTGAAAAACGAAGCCAAAAGAACCCTTCCCTTCTTGTGCATCTTCTTTGTACTTTTTAAGTTCCATTTTCAATTCATCCAGAAGTGGTGCCATTGTATAAATTTTTAAACAACCACCTGATTGATTTTAGTCATTCAAATATAATAACCAAGAATCCAAAGATCACCAAATAATCCAAATACACGCAAGCTGTTT